CCCTCAGCCATGAACTAGGAACATACCATTATGTGGTAGATCTTGCTAATGCCTTCTTTTCCATTGACATTGAGCAGGAAAGTCAGGAACAGTTTGCCTTCATCTGGGAAGGACGGCAATGGACTTTCACCCTCCTTCCACAGGGCTACCTCCACAGCCCCACCATCTGTCATGGACTTGGAGCCCAGGACTTGGCTACATGGGAGAAACCACCAACGGTGTGGCTGTACATTATATTGATGATATGCTCACGTCTGATTCTCTTTCCGATCTAGAAGGTGCAGCTCCTAGACTGCTGCAACATTTACAGGAGAAAGGATGGGCTGTGAACAGCACCAAGGTTCAGGGACCTGGTTTGTCTGTCAACTTCTTGGGGATCATCTGGTTGGGTAGGACTAAAGTTATACCAGAAGCAGTTATAAAGTCCAGGCCTTTCCTACCCTACAACTGTAGCATTGTTATAGTTTTTGGGTCTCCTAGGCTACTGGAGAGTGTTTATCCCACACTTGGTATAAATTCTGAAGCCGTCATACCAGTTGGTATGAAAGGGTGTCAGGTGAGACTGGGATGAGACATGTGCAGCTGCCTTTACTACAGCAAAACAGGCAGTCAAGGCTCTGCAGGCCTTGAGTGTGACAGACCCATCAAGGCCCTGTGAGCTGGATGTTCATGTGACTGAAGACGGTTATGGCTGGGGTCTCTGGCAGCAGCTTGAAAGAACTCGCCAACCTACTGGATTCTGGTGGCAACTCTGGAAAGGGGCAGAGGTACAATACACTTTGATAGAAAACCTGGCTGCCGTGTGTCATGCCTTGCTGGCTACAGAACCCATCACTGGAATGGCCCCGATAAAGGTAATAACCACCTATCCCATCTTGGGGTGGGTATGAGACTGGACTCAAAAGCCAAGGAGTGGTGTGGCACAAACACCCACACTAGCCAAGTGGGGTGCTTACCTACAGCAGCATAGTGCCCTCTCTAGTAGCCCCTTGAGTGAAGAACTCCAATGTTTATTGGGGCCAGTGACATATACTAGTGAAAAGCAAGAAGAATTTACTTTGGAACCATTAGTAGCAGAGAGTCCTATATCCGAAGATGCATAGTACATAGATGGCTCCAGCCGTGGGCAGCCTCCAAAATGGAGGGCCATAGCTTTCCATCCTAAAACTGAGAGAATATCAATGGAAGATGGTGAGGGGAAGAGCAGCCAATGGGCAGAGTTGTGGGCAGTGTGGCTTGTGATCAGCCAGGAGCCCTCCCCAGTAGTTGTCTGCACTGACAGCTGGGCCGTCTATTGGGGCTTGACCCTGTGGCTACCAACCTGGTTCTATGCCGGCTGGATGGTTGGTCAGCCACCACTTTGGTGGCAAGAATTGTGGCAAGACTTCTGGGCCTGTAGTCAGACTAAAACAGTTACAATGTATCATGTGACAGGTCATTTGCCAATGGCATCCCCATGAAATGATGAAGCAGATGGATTGGCCCAGGTGCACTGACTAGAAAGAAAGCCTGCCTCTCATGTAACCCAATGGTTACATCAGCGTTTGTTGCACATGGGGCAAAAGACAATGCAGGCTGTAGGCTGTTGGCAGGGCTTGCCATTTGAAGAAGTCAGCAGAGCCTGGCAGGACTGCATCATGTGCTCTAAAATGGACTTACACCGAGTTCCACAGCAACACGGGACAATAGCTGAGGGGCTGATATCCCTCATCAGGTGGCAGATAGACTGTTTTGGGCCTCTGTGTATGTCAGAAGGGTACGAATATACCATGACTTGTGTGGACACAGCTACTGGACTTCTGGTTGCTTTTCCTGAACATTGTGCAGACCAACAGACGGCCTGGAGCTTCTCTTTGTAGCCTATGGCTGACCATAGGTAATTGAGAGTGATCAAGGAACCCACTTTACTGGGCATGCACTACAAGAATGGGTACAACAGTTGGGAATCAAGTGGAAGTTTCATGTGACATATAATCCTACTGCAGCAGGCATGATAGAGAGGTATGATTGTTAAAATCTGGACTAAAGTCAGATACCAATAGTCTGTGGGGATGGTCAGTCTGCTTACGGACCATGCTACGGCATTTGAACGAGAAACCCCAGAAGGGAGCCCTGAGCCCCGTAGACATGGTAACACATATGGCTGCATCCCCTGTACAACTGCAAGTACAAACCAAGGAAGAATCATTGAAGCCAAGATTTTGCCACCAGAATAGTATCTTGCTACCAGCACCAACTGCACCAAACCCTGGAGACTCCATTGTGATGTGGCTTTGGACATTTTGACACATGATGGCTGGCCCTCCTGGCACCTTGGGGACAAGGCCTGGAAGCTGGCCTCCTGTGTATTGCTGGCCTGGAGTTACAGCAGAGTGACCCCCAGAGATCACAGTAGTATATCCTGAACGGCCAGAAGGTAGGAACATCTTACTGGGGAGTTTTGTTTTATCATTATGGCCAGTGCATGAACCTCTAGTAGCATTATATATAGACCCCTCAGTAACCCCCATGGGGAGAGGGGTAAAAGTATGGTATACTAGACCTGGACGGAATCCCCTTCCTGCTATAGTCCTATCACAGGACCAGTCTCTTGCATGCATCCTATCTGATGGACAAGATGTGCCTATGTTGGTGTCATTAAAACATGCCTTATTGCCCTTAAGATCTTTGTGGATTGGGCAAAAAAACTGCTACTCACTGGGGTGCATGGAACTCCCTGTCCACACTACTAAGTGTGAGTCATGAACTCATGAGCAGAACTGCTTTTGAGTAGAGTTGAAATAACCTCCTCACGCTTGAGGATTATTATAATTTGTTACCTGTATCAATATATTGTTAATATCTTAATTTTTGTTATTATCTCTATGTTGTTGTTATCTTCTGTTGCTGGTATGGAATCTGGTTACAATGCTGCAGCTTTCTCACACAGGGACCATCGTGGAAGACTGAGAGCATGTAGACTGTGAGGTGAGAATCCTGGAGGGGTGGAGTGTGGAAAAAGTGAAGGTTCCTATGGCCGGGATCCTCACCTGACCCTAAACTACTTGATGATGTAACTGACCTGCTGCTAGGCTACTGCTTCCACACCCATAAGCAATAGGCTAGTATTGACTGAGTCATTATATAAAGAGGTCTCTGCCCAGTGCTCTGGGTGGAGGCAGAGACAAAGGAGGATTACAGACCTGCAGACGTAATTCTGGTGCTTGACCTATCACTGGGAAAACAAGCCAGGTAATAAATCCTTTCACCCCAAGAATATTCCATTGTCATTCCTCAGTCTCACTGAATCCAAAGTGAACTTGTCTGGGGCTGAAACCCATTGGCAAGATTCCCTCCTCGCAGGTTGTACACAGCACTTGGCACAGGGCCTGACCCAGAGTAACAGCTGATGCTCTCACAGCTCTTCCTGCTGTTACCCAAATCCACTGCTGGTACCTATTAGCACTCCAGCAACTGGAAACTGCCAGAGTGGGACTCCCCAGGGCAGGAACAGCATGCGGCATGGCCCATTCCTCTGGAACATGAGGGTCAAGTAGCACCTCCTAACAGGTTTCAAGGACCTCTGGGAGCCAGCAGGAGACGGCATGGCCGGCACACAGCAGCACACCCTCATGAGCCCGCTGCGGCTCCTTCCAGAACATGGGATGCAAAGGGGGCACTGAGCTGGCACCATGGAATCACTGTTGGTACAGGCACTTCTCTAGAAAAACTGTAAGTTAGTCTTTTTAATCACCTGCATAGTGAATGACTGAGCCCGTTTTCCCTCCACTCTGGTCAGGAAGTTTTACTGGGCAGGGCAGGGTCCAGCTGAACTTGGGGGCTGCTGGGTGGTCATGGCTCCAGGGAGTGCTGGGCCCACACCCGCCCCGGCACTTGGCCAGTTGGACCCAGTGTCTCACAGCTGAGCCTTGGTTCAGGGCGTTCATGAGATGGAAGGAGTGTTGCTTTGTTCTACACGAAGCTTGGCCTCCACGAGGCACCCGCCCTGGGTGTGAGTTCCCGCACCTCTTGGTGGGGCTGGTTTGCCACACACTCCAGCAGGCCAGGGCCTTGAAGGTGAGTCTGCCAGTGACAACACAGAGCAGGGGAGCAACACAGAGCAGGTGACAACACAGAGCAGGGGAGCAAGCTGTATGGCTTACACACTGGGGAATAGGTTTGCGCTCCTCCACCACCCTGAGGGTGTTGTGCTCTGGCCTGGGCTGTGCCGGGACAGGACTATTCCTGGTCCAGCCATGGGAAGAAGCCTCTGTCTTCCCTGTCATATGACCACACTTAGCAGGAAGGGAGTTGGGAGCAAGTCCCTCTCTGGGTCCATGGGTCTATGGAAACACAACCCTATCTGAGACAGACTGTGGAGAGACTGGCAATGTGCAATGGCCCATGTCACCGAGAGCACATGGAGACCGTCCCAGCCCCCGAGTTTCAAAGGGTAATTCAACTCCTCCTCTGGAGTTACACGACTCCTGTGGTGCAGACGGAAACGATGTCAGGGTTTTACCTCCCCACCATCTACCAGAGCAGGTGGCCCAGGACATCAGCCAGTGGATGATGCTTTAGTGTTTTTCTGTCTAATTTCTGACTTCTGTCTCTACCTTCACTGGAACTCAATGTGGCGACTGCCGGAGCCAAGCTGCATTTCTGCCAGAGCTGATGGCCAAAACCGTTCCTGCCTAAACGGGCATTTCCAAAACAAAACAGGTTCAGAGTCACAGGCCAGACCCTTCCTTTACATCCTTTCCTCTCTAGTGGAGAGTCTGACAGCCCCACGTGCTGACAGTGGACGCCCGCAGCTCCAGGCGGCGGGTCGTCACGGGGTGGCTGTTGCCCAAGGCACCCAAACCTCTGCCTTTTCCTTAGTAACCGGCGGTGGAGGTGTCTGGCCACGAAGAAGGAAATGGCCTGCCAGGAGACCTTGTCTGGCTCCTGAGGGTTGAACAAAATGATGAAGCTGCTGGGCAGCTCCTCGGGTAATAATCACTCCTTAAAGAGAGTGCTCATCCTACTTCAATCCATACACGGTTTACTAAAGGAATTATACAGTAATACACATCCCAATGCTCTCCCTAAAATTCTCATTTAGCTTTTTTTTCATTAAAAATGATTTCTACCTTTGAAATTTCCCAGAAAGCGTGGTTTGTTTTTTGCTACTCTAAATACATTGTCAAAGACAGATAACTACTACTGTCATATGAATGTAAAAGGAGATTTATAAACCAGAAATGCATTCTCTGGGAAATCAACTTTTAAATGACTCCATGAGTCCACTGCATCTATTTCACTGTGAAGCCCTAGGATAAAGCAGTGTGAGGTCATATGTCACATGCCGTCCCCGGTCAATGGCAGTACAGTCTGGGGGCTGCTGCCTGCACTCAGGCCTGCCCAGGTGGAGGCGCCGTCAGGTAGTGTGCAGAGCACAGGGTGTATTTCTGCGGACTTGTTAACTGTGGACCAACAGGAATAATGGCAGGATCTGCAGGAAGAAATGTCACAATGGGCTCATCACACACTGCACCACAGTGGGAGGCTGAGGAGAAATGGCTCCAGGCCCAAACCCTGGGCTCAAACCCTGGCCCCACAGGTGGGTGGAAGCAGGCCAATTTCATCCAGTCCAGAGCATTTTCCTGGCACCACCCAGTGCACAGGGGGCTTCACCTACCACCCTGGGCACAGGTCTCCTGCCATTCGCAGCCCACCCAACAACAGGTGCAGACATGCATTTCCCACTTTCATCACCAGCACCATTTCTCCACCAGTTCCTGCAGCTGTGAAAATTCTCTGGCACCAGCCGTCACTAAACCCCTCACTGCCGTGGGGCATGGAACTCCTTCTTCCAGTTCCCTAACGGTTTTGCAGTCACCATGAAATATGTTATAAAAGAACTACAGAACCAGGTGAAAAAGTGCCACCCTTCCCAGTGGACGCAACTCTGCATCCTTCCTTGGACAGTTCCTACGAACATCTGAAGTGACGAGTGCGTGTGTGGCCGTCCTGCACAGGAGCCTTGCGGGAGTCCTAGTGACATCCGTTGGTCAGGTGGGGGGTGTCCTTTAGTCCCCAGGATCTCACTTTCCAGCAAAGCTCAAACTGCTGCTGCAACTGTTTCACTGACCCTTAAAAAGGGCAGTAAGTCAAGTTTTGCTCTCTGAGGAGTGATCTTGTCAATAACATTAAGAAGTCCTAAGGAATTTTGAAAGGTCTGAGAAATGCCCCCAGGAAGCCGTAGCCTCAAGAACATGAGGAAGAAGACCAATGGAAAGCTGAGAGGTCAGCTGCACGCTGATACAGAATCACAGAAAGACAGGTGCACACTGCCAGCTCCAGCTGCGCAGAGGTCGGGTACCGGCAGCACTGCCATTTGGCCTCCTCCTGGGCCGCGCTCCCTGCGCCTGGGCTACATCCTGCAGAGCCTCAGTGGGAAGTTCTCCGTGATGAGATGATCCGCATGAAGCAGCACTACGATGTTGATCTCAAATTCTGGGAAGAGAAGGAACAGGTGTCATGCTCACTGGCCCCCGCAGCGAACCCAATGCCAATCCCTGCAGGGGCGCAGCAGCTCTGCAGGTGAGGAGAGCGCCGGGGCCACAACCCTGCGTGATGCCCTCTGCGGCCAGAAGCGGTGCAGATGGAAAGACCGGGGCCTCCCTCACCTCCTCTGAGTACATCTGTCTTCCTGCCTGGGACAGAGAGGCAGCGGCCTCCCCAACCACACAGTCCTGTCCTCTGGCTTCACTAGACAGAATCTTCTAGAATACTTCCATTTGTACTCTGCTCTATCTTCGCATTTCCCACAGTTCTTAATGGACAGCAGGCCCGCAGCTGTCTGGGTCTGCCTCCCACCCCCAGTGAAAAACACGTGAGTAACAGCCAAGGGTGACTGCTGCTCTTTGGGATCCTGGTTTATCTGACACACCTGTTTATACACTCCCCTCTTACCTTTTAGTAGGCGGGATTTTTTGTCTACTGGCTCTGTAGCTGCTGTGGGTGAGCCTTGCTGACCCCAGGGAAAGGGGTGTGTGAGGGGGGAGCTTTGGGCCAGAGGGGCAGGCCTCACCCTGAGGCAGCTCAGCTGTGCAGGGCTCTTGGCTCAGCTCGTCCGAGGCCCCACCTGGCTAGGGTGCTGAGGACAGGGTCCCTGAGCGCGGCTGTCCGCCTCCGCCCAGCACCAGCCACGACGGGAGCCGCGTGGCATAGGCCGTCCCGCGTCTTTGCTTGCTCTGATCGTTCCAGCTTGAGAATGGCCCCCGGGCCTTCTGCTCGCCCTTTCTGTTTGCCTCATTGTCCCCCACTGGAGGGAGCACAGTGTCACTGGAGTGGACAGAGGCATCCAGCAGGCACAGATGGCTCACATGAGGGAGCTGGGGGTTTTCCTCGCAGCACAGAACACTCAGCAGGGCAGCTACAAGAGACAGCCATTCTGTGCAGGCACCCTAACTCGGGTGGGTTCCCGCTGGAGGGTGGCCTCAGGCCTGACCGTGCACCTGAAGTCACCTGTGGTCAGTACAGGTGAGGAGGGCATGCCCAGATGTTAACTCGGGATGTGGGGCTTGCTCCCACGGCCAGGCCTGGAAGTGCCGACCCCCAGCCCAAGCCACAGAGGCTAACCTCAGCTGGCTACACTACAGCGACTCCAGGGACCACAAGAGGCTTGGCGCTCAGATGATGACCACATGCCACCTCTTTTCTGCGGGGACTTCCTAACTAACAGTGTCTGTCATTTTCCAAGCCCCAAACTGGACTAAAGTCAACACTGACAAGAGCTTTACTGGTATCGGCTGATGGATGGAGGGCATTATTTATATGGAAAAGCCGGAGGCATTAAATGTTATATGGAGACTTTCTAAATGAAATAAGAGATAGCATGCAAAGAATGTAGGTGCTTAATGTATAACACAGCAAAAGGAACATTTTGGGGCCTTATTGAAGTTTACATAGGAGAATCAAGTTGAGAAATCAACAGAAAAGGTCCTCCTTCTCAACTTAAAATCAGTGTATTGGGAAGTAAAAACACCACCTTCAGGACAGTATGTCAGAGTGCCAGGGGCTACTAAGCCGGTGGCCATGGGGCACTGCCCACAGGACACGCAGCAGCAGGGGCCCTGGGCTGGGCCCCACGCTCCCTCCAGGCCCGGTGCCTCTGGTGTTGTCTGGGCACACAATGCCTGTTCGAGAGTCACTGTATTCACGGTTGTGGAGAAGAACTGAGGTACCCAAGCTCGGGTGAGGTGTGCCCGGTATTGTCAGTGGCAGGTGTCCCTGCCCTCTTATGTGTGTGGGTGAGCAGCCGAGTCAGCTGCCTTCTTTGTTGCTGACATGGGTATCCTGAGCCTTTCACCCTCACCCCAGGGCCACGCTTCAGAGAAGGCACATAAGTGGCCCCACAATCGTCACCCCGAGCTCCTGACCCTGGTGCTGATCTGGGCCCTCGCTCACACTCACGCTCACACTCACCTGGAGGCACAAAAAGGCCCGAACAGGGCTCAGTGAGCGAGATGCAACGGCCCCTCCTGCTGCTAAACAAACGGCGCATGCACAGCTGAGGAAGCCGTGCTGCCCAAGCTACGCTATGTGGGAGTATTTAGTAAAGTCACAATCTAACTAAAGAAACAAGGATTCCCTCTGGACTAATCCTACCACCACACAGTAAAAGATTTAGGGGGAGTATGGCATTAATACAACGTGTTGGCCTTAGGACCCATTTTTCAGTGAAGCAGGCTAACAGCAGAAGCAATTGCCACATACCCTTATCACATGTATTTATCACTGAGTCTCAGGTATGACTCAGAAGGCCATCCGGGAAAGCCCGGGAACACTGTCTGTGGTCCCCTCATTGGTTTGCGGAATGTGGTGGCCCCGAGGGCGAAGTCCATGTGCGTCTTTGTAGTGGGGGGTGAGCCCTCCATGACCTTCATAAGCATGATGATTTCAGTAGGATGGATGCATCATTAAATATTTCATAAGAATATTTAAAGCTATGGAAATATTCATGATATAAAAAGCGAGAAAAAGCAGGAGAAAGCACTGTGTCTGTAGTGATTCAGATTTTGTGGTCAAAATATCTACCCATGCGATCATGGAAAACGACCAAGACACCCCACACCGGGGAGCAAAGCCTTCAGGTAGATTGATGTTCACACTGGATCGCCCCACTCTGGGTCTCGGCTCAAGGCCGGCCTGTCAGAGGAGCCACCCGCCCTCCCCGAGCACACCGCAGTGTGCCCTAGTGTCAGCCCCCTTCACAGGGCAATGTCATCGCCTGCCTGGCCCCAGGGGCACGGTCACCGCTGTCTCCCCACATGACGCTGGAGTTCCCAGGCTGGGGCTCCCGGCCTCCCTCTGTGCCAGCCAGCAGCATCCTGGTGAGCTCCCCGAGTGACTGCAGGATCAAGCGCTGAGTAGGGACCCAAGCAGCCCCCCGTGTCTGTCCAGGCGCTGGGTGGCCCTTTCTGCTGGCCCCGCCCCCCACGGGAGAGCACAGCGGCCACAAGGCTGAGTGCACTCACCCACTTTGAAGTTGGTCGTCTCCAGCGTCGGGCAGGTGAACAGCCGGGGGAAGACCATGTATATGGGGACAGAGAGGCCCCGACAAACATCCCCGTCAGCGATCTGGATATTCTGAATCTCCGTGGCATCGCGGGCATATCCTTCTGCACACCCTAGAGAGGAAGCATCACGGGGTCAGAAAACAGCGACCATCCAAACACGCCCCTTTCGACTCCATGGGCATCTGCTCTGCACACTTACCTGCTTCTCCCATCTGCTCTACAGGACTCTTGAGCGGCCCGGTCCCTTCCCTCCATATTTCACTTTCTCAAACACACATACACGAGCATCGAGAGGTGTGCCCTGACTTTCACCGCACCCTGGGGGACCCTTACCACAGGTCTCCACACGGACCAGTTGCAGCTCTATGCTTTTGATGGCGGCCTCTGAGCTCTCGACCACCAGCTCCCCCATCAGTGGCTGCGTGATGACACAGTTGGTTGAGTTGAGATGTCCTCTGATGAGAAATTTGGGGAGCAAGGCTCTCTAAAACAGAACAGAAATGGACATTAGGCGGCAGGGGAAATTAGTCGAATACCATTCTGGTACAAAGGAAAACTGAGAACAAATTGGGTAACTTTTATAAAACCTACTGGGACCCTGTTGGACCAAATGGGGAAAAGCTACAACAGAACCTACTTCTGTCAACTTAATGAACAGCCTCAACTGTCAACTATCAACAGCTGTCTCCAGACAAAACTTCTGAGAGAAGGTATTTATTCTCAGCTCTGTTGTTATAAACTTGCAAGTGTCTATGTATGTTCTGACATCTGAGGGTAACTATTAGGAAAATAGAAATAGGACATTAGAGGAAAAAAGGAACAAACAAGGTAATAGAGAAAAAAAAAACCCTCACAACCTAATCAATCAGACTAAAGACAGAAGAAAAGCAAAGTATACCAGAGAGTAGGGCATGATAAAAGGAATAAAACATCCAACAGTGATTGTTAATTAACAATAAAACACTGTGATTATTCATTTAAAAAGAATGGGTTAAATTCTTCTATTAAGAAATATTGTAGTTAAAAAAAACCCACTTATAAGAGACACCTGCAATGGAATTGTTTCAGCTCAGTACCTCTTCCTCACCATGTCTGTGACCTATTTTTGTATAATTTAGATTCCTTAGAAGTAAGTAATATAAACTTGTTTTAACCAATGTAAGTGACAAGGGGGCTAACTGGGACACTACGGGGTAGTTCTGTCCTCATGGCCCCGGGTCGGTGGAATCAGGGCGGTGGGAGATCTCAGCAACAATGCTTCCAGTCAAAGTTCAGATTCCTTTGAGGGGAAAACCTGGCCCATGGATGCTGCGTGCTTTCCAGAAGCGGGAAGAGCTGCTTGGGGGGCTTGCCGAAGGCTCCCGATCATCCACCCCTGCCTCCTCTGTGCTTCCTGAGGGACAAGGCTGAAAAACCACTCCTGTGCCCAGGGCTCCCAACCCACCTTTACCCTGACTCTAATCAGCTGGGTCCAGAGAGCAGAATGCCTGAGCAGAGCAAGGGAGAAGGGCCCTGTCCCCTCTAAGGAGAGGGGATGGCCACAGGCCAGGCAGCAGGGGTAACAGCGGGAGAGGGTCTCCAAGCACAGGACACCACCACGGGGAGAAGACAGTAAAAATAATGAACAGTACAGTACGGTAAGTAAAAGACAGTAAAAAGAATTACAAACACAGAGCCTTAGAAAGTTTTCAAAAACATTCTTTTAAGTAGCTAGTGAGTTTAAAAAGAAATCAAAACTGAAAACAGACTATTTTGGGTACAGACAGTAATCAGAAATTTCCTCTTGCTGACAACTTGATATACAAATTAAGAACAATCAGGCAACAGTGTGTCAGTGGGATCTGGTAACTAAGAAAATACCCCTGGCATTGGAGGGTATGGGCTTGTTACCTCTTTGACATTCTGTAAGGTTTCAGGTGTGATGGTGAAGTCCACGGGACTCGGAGTCAGCTTCCCCTTCTGAGGCTGAAACAGGAGGGAAAACCAAAGTCAGGTGCTTGAGGGCCAAGAGTTTGGGTCAGACTTCTTTTCCCTTTTAAAGAAATGAGAGCAGCATAATAAACCAGGAAGAACTTGGTACTAAGAGCAGGATCCTGCCAAAAACAACGTGTGCTCTGTCAGATTTCTTCATCCCCCATGACTCAGCTTCCTCATCTGTAAAGGGAGGGCAGACTTTGTGATCTCTCAGGTCCCTTACAGGTCCAGGATTTACATATGGGACCTAAGACAGAGCAGTATCATTGGGGATCTTTATTCTAAATGTCTTAGTGCAAAAGCTAACAGAAGAGCGTCTGTGATGTGGGTGCCGTTACTGCCGCCGGTCACAGAGGAGGGAGGTAATGCACAGGGAGTTCCGATGGCTTCCCAATGAAGCCGAGCCTCAGCCCAGGTGGCCTGCCTCCAGCACCGGGTTATCGGCCGCTCAGCTGTGTGACGGTCTACCTGGAAGAGCCACTCACTCCTATGAAGGAAATAACCGTACATGTTACCACGTTCAGTTAACAGCAGTCACCTCCACATTACAGAACTGCAGAATCCATCAGTACGGCCATGCTTCACCAGGGCCTGCCTGTGTCTTTTACTCAGGGGCTGGTATCCAAACGCCACTACAGCAGGTGGCAGGGGAGCCGCGGGCAGGAAGGGAATGCAACAGTCTGCCAAGTTTACGCATTTACTGAAAGCATATTTGAAGGAATATTCTTGTTACTAGGTCCATGAACATGTTCTTCAGTGAATAGACTCGTCCTCACAGCAATGACAGGGACATAAACCTTGCCTACTACAGGTCATGGCTTGACCTTCTCATGCAATCATTCCCAAAGAACACAATTCTCAATAGCTGAGCTGACAAACTGCTGCTGGGAGGGATGAAGCCCCTCACCACTGTGTCCGTGCCCCCCTGCACGGCTGGCAGCAGGACTCTGATCTGGCCTCATTCTTCCCCAGAGTTGGATGCTCTTTTCATTAAGGACATACAAGGCTGTGCCCCTTTTAGGGAATAATCCACATAAAAAAAAAAAAATCCAAGCAAATCACATAACTTCCAGAAAAGATAACCATTTCCATATTTTACACGTTTTCTCAATAAGAGACACTGAAACACTGTGATTATTAAAAATTCAATAACAGAAACTGCAAGTGTCAGAAGTCCTGCAAAGTCTCAAAAATGTTTTATGTAAAGGACATCAGTGATCTTGCTGATATGACCCACAAAAGCTTTAAGTCTTCATGTTTATACTTAATTATTACAAAAAGATACCCATGGACATTTCCTAATAGTGTAAAGGAAATGTAATTGCAAATTTTCCACAAAAACTGACCTGCCTCACCTGTACAAGCCCCCATTTATTGAGACCCGGGGGATATGTGTGGGGTTCTGGGATGCCAGGCCCTGTAATGCCTGAAAGGCTAGAGGCTAAGCTAAGCAAACAGTCAAGAAAAGCTGGTGGCTCTGCTGTCTGCCCAGTCTGGGCAGTGCCGGACACGGCCTCCAGCCCTTGGAGCCCGCGTGCTCCTGGAGCACAAGTCTCTTCTGGTTCCGGGAGGCCCTCAGAAGCGGTGTTCCCGAGTCAGCTGGGGACCCCTGGCAGCTGCAGGCCTTGCCACATGCTCTGGCATTGCTCAGGCACCACATCCAGGCTCTGTGCGCCTAGGTGCCTCCGGGAACTCCACTTTGCTGACTTCTCAGAACCAAAACAAAGCCAGATGTACCACACCTTTAGTCTAGGGAGCTATTCAAGGAGAGAACTGGATAAATGGGGCGAGACCAGCCCTGAATCAGAGGTGGGCACATGCGGCCTGGGGAAGGCAGGCCCAGGCCTGAAGCTGCTCTGTAATCAGGATCCAGAGAGGCCCAAGCACCACAGGGAGTCCAATGCTGTGGGCATGAGTGTCTGTCACCATGTGCCACCCCTAGGGTGGCACTGCCAGCCACTGCTAGGTTCTGTGTGGTGAGCAGGGAACTACGCGGATGGGCTGCAGGGGATGACAGCTTGAGTTCGCCCAGTCACCTGCGGCAGTGGGGGAGGGTGATCCAGTTCCCTAGGTTGGCACGTGAAAGACATTTTTAACAACATTTTGTCACTGCAGAGTATTAGCAGAAGGTGTTGGGAGAAGCAGCCCCCCTGGCCCTGAGCATCCCCTGTGTCCTTGTGGGTGTGCCCAGTGTGGAGGGCTCTGAGCTGGGCCATTTCCCTGGGCTGTGGCTGCTGTGGCAAACCTGAGAGGGGAGGTGATGTCTCCCTCTGAAACAGAGGACAGGCCCTCTTGCTGCCTGCTATCGAGAAGAGGGCTCCCCAGGTCACTGCTCCTTGGCTGAGGTGCAACCCCTGGAGGGGCGGCACCCACCCGGGCCTGGGGCTTTACCTGCGGGCCTCTGGGCCATGGGAATGACACAAACGCTGGCTGTGTGGGAGCAACGGGGGCCCTTGCCTCTGACCCAGGAGTCGGCGTCTCTCCCGGCAGCCGGAAACGACACCAGGGTACCTCACGAGCTTGGAGGTCGGGTCGGATCGCAGACCCCACCAAAGACCCTGTTATTAAGCACAAAGCCCCCAGGTGCAGCTTACAGCAGAGTGAACGATGAACTCACAGGTCTTTGTCAAGTCCTTGGCCAGCAGAGACCGCCTCACGTCGCAGCGCAGGGTGTACTGGAGGAAGGCCAGAGGAGGAGAGGTTAGGTCGGTGGGATGATGTTCAGAGAGACGCATCAGTCAACGTATTTTAGGAAACTGTGTTACACGAAAATATACAGCATAGTGGGAGTTACTGCTTAAAGGCATTTCTATACAAAAACAAAACACAGAAGACACTGTAAGGTTATTCCTCAGCCTGTTCCCAGGGCCTAGGGTAGCTGGACCGAAGCTGCAGTCTCACCCATGACGGGGAGCCTGATGGTGACACCCTGGAAAGGGCATGCCCTTGAGAATTGGAAGCTAGTTCAGCCCCTCACCCATGCTGGTGTGCCAGCCCAGACACTCTCCACCACATTCTGGGCCTCAACCTCTTGCTCTGTAAAATGGGGACATGAAGCCCTGCCTGCTGTGAGGACCACATGACATAACATGGTAGCTGCTCAGTACAGGGTAGGGCACCTGGCAGCTCCTAGGAAAATGGCAGCTATTTTTTCAGAAGGATTAGAAGACATGTAGTGAGCTTAGAGGCCCTGGACCTGCACCCAGCACCTCACAGACCAACTTTAGAGGCCACTCGCGCTGAGCAACGTCCACGCAACAGCCTGCGCTGGTGCCGGAGCAGAGCACGTCAGGCCTGCACCGCAAGCTGCCCGTTTAGGAGGAGAAGGAATATGGAGTGATGGCGTTCAAAGACCCAGGGCTCCAGAGCACCTTAAAGCTCCTCTGCATTTTAACTGTAAGGAGGACTAAAGAAGGAAAAGTCTTCCTAAAATTTTTATTTTGGATAATTCAAACACACAAAAGCAAAGAGAAGAGCATAGCGCCACCCCACAGGGCCACCAGCCAGCTTCCACAGTGCTGGACTCACAGCTGGTCTCATTCAACCTGTTGCCCTGCCATCTGCCAACACAGATGTGTCCTGCCTGCAGAATTAAGGGGGCGGCAAAGGAGTGCAGCCTTCCTCGCTTTACCTTGGCTGTACTCAGTTTCTCTGCTGTCCCAGGGCTGGTTTTCAGAACTAGCCTCTGCTGGTGTGCGGGCCGCAGGATGGGCCCTACTCTGCCTGAGGGGGTGAGCCCGCTGCACCGCCGGTCACTGAGCCAGGAGCATGGCTGTAACCTCAGACTGCTCCTGCACATCCCCGTCCATGGACTGAGACTGGTAATACAATTCTGCAGCAGGGTGTTTAAATCACTCAAGGGAAAACTTAAGAATTACGTTAAAGTAATTTGTATAACTGGGACCAAATTCATGGTTGAATCAAGAAACTGCATTGTCATGAACAACCTCTCACATTAAACATGAAGTTACTATATATTCAAGGCACTCCTGGGACATTAACGCATTATCCCTTATCTGCAAGGGTCTTTTTATACGTATATATTCTCTATCAGAGATTTCAAATCTGGTCTCCCAACCAGATGAGCTCAGTGAGGGCTGGTACTCTACATGCATATGTATGTGTGTGTATGAGTGTGTGTGATACGTGTGTGTGCATGCATGTGTACTGCCTTCCTCCTGGACACCGCATGCACTGACTGAAGTGCCCTGTTTTGTTCTGGCTTGCATGGTCTCTCTGATTCCTTTCCCAGGGGGAGCTTCCCCTTCCTCAATTTCAGTCTCAGGGTTTGGGCAGGGCTGACCACCCCCAACCCCAGCTTGGCGCTGGAAGTGACCAGTAGGCCAGGACCACTGCTGGGACCACGGGAGCAAATTCCTCCAGCTGGACTGCCACCCGGGAGATGGCAAGCCTGCAGCTGCTTGCTGGCTGCTGCTCTTCCGTTGCAAGGGATGGCCCGCCTGCCAGTGGGGCCTGCCCCAAAGACGGCTGAGCTGGAGACACGGTTGGCCCGGGGCCCGGCCAAGATACCAGGCAACCCCTGCAGTTCCCGTTCTATGACACAACGTCCCTTTTTGGGCCAAGTCAGTTTGAGCCAGGTTCCTACAACTTGCAAATGAAAGGATATGAATAACAGGCATCAACTTTTGGTCACTAAATGTGTTAGTGTGAAAGTTAATACTCAGTCATAGAAGGCAGCTGGTGGTGATAAGTGGGGGTGGGAGAAAGGGAGAAAAGACGTTATGTTCGAGGAATTGTGTTAAGTCCTTTTCTGTGTACCATCTCAATTCTAATACTGTGAATGTAAGAATTGTTAGCATACCACATGGGTAGTCACCATGAATTCGTTAATGATAGATATTTCCTTAGGACATCTCTGTGCCAGGTCCTGTGCTAACTAAGCACTTCATGCCAAGACCTCATTAACCCCCAGCAGGAGAGGTCATGAAGGGTGCTCAGGGCCACAGAGGTGGGATTTGAGTTCACACATGCCTGTCACCAAAAGCCATGCTCTACACCCCTAGGCAATACTGTAAGTCAAGCCCAACCCATCTGCAAAGCCCTGGGTCCCTCCACTTTACTGTGATCTTTTCCCCTTTCTAAGGAGGGATGCAGGCGGTGTGCGCTCCGGGAGGTCACAGGGCGTCAGGACGGTCAGACGTGTGCAGAGTGCCAGAAGGAGGTGCGAGACTCAATCTTTTTCAACTGGCAATAAACACAACCTGAACAGGAATGAAGAAAGAACACACCTGTCCACAGATCTGAGGCCGACTCCTAGGGAGGATGTTTTTAAGTGTGAAAAAGGGTTAATTCTGAATACATGACTTCAGCAGACACACCGCTACTGCTGCATGTGGTATTACAGTGTACAATCTCGCGAGTATGCCTACAAGAGTAGAACAAACATAGTAAAACTTGCCTATGATGTCAATAACTTATAAAAGAAGAACTAGTTGCACAAAGGACAACTAGGAGAGACAGATTGTTGCATGCAGCACCCGACAGTAAAGGCGGGAAGCGAACACAGCGGGACTGAGAGGAGATGAGAGCCAGAGCACCCGGCCCTCCATCCAGGAGGCAGCGAGCAACCCTGGCCCCTGCGAGCGGGGGACTTGCACTGGCTACACGTTCCATCCTTCTCTCTGGCTTAGGACTTGCACTACTTTTACGTTATGTCACCAACACAATTCAGATGATAAATGAAAAATGTCTCTACACCTGTATCATTTGAGAAGAGGATGCTATTAAAGTTTAACAACACTTTCTACCAAAAGTAGCACCCTGGAGTCCTCCAAAAAGCCACGGTGAGCAGGGGCACCCGGGAGGGTGACGCCAGTGGGCCCTCCTCTGAGGCCCCAGTGGCTGTGTCACTGTCCTCTCTGGGTGGCACCTGCTCTCCTGTGCAACAGGAGGCTGGAAAAAGACCCGCCTGAAACCGATGCTCAGTGACAGGACAAAGGAAAACCGGCCAGAAACCGTCCCAGTGGTTTCCCTCAGGCAGTGCACTTCCCAACGAGGACGCGACAAATGTGACTCCTGACCAGGGAATTCGGTGGCATTTGAGAACTGCTGATTTGTGTAGGTGTGAACATGTTAACTGTGATCATGCGGCACAATGTCCTTCCTTTTTGCAGATGGGGATCGAAGTATTTTGAGATGAAGTGTCAAGATTTTGTAACTAACTTTGAAATGATTCAGGAAAAAAATCAATACAGATTAAACAAAGATGGCAAAATTCTAACACATGTTGAATGTAGGTGGTAAGTGTGAGGGTGACACATCTCAGGAATGTAAGGTTAAGGTAGGAAGAAATATCTTCCTTTTTAGAAATCTGAGATAACCTGGGGAGGCAGAGAATTCCCAGTTGTGGCATTCCAAGGTTACCCTCCAGGGGTAAAATCTGGTGACCGAAATAACGGCTGCGTCGGGATCATCCAGTTTTCTGAAGTGCTTCCCTTCCTCCTATTGCATCTGAAATCACTTCCCTCTTACACATGTTGTGCAGAGCAAAAGTGCATGGGTCTCTGTGTACACCTGCCAGCCTTTCTGACAACATTTGGAAAAGGATGCGATTTCCAACCTTATTTGAAACAAATGAATCTTTTAACAAGAATGAAGAATGATGAATACAGGCCCAAGTAACAAGCAGGATGACAGTGAAGAGCTGGTGTCACCCTATTCGGCTTCTAATGAATCCACACTTATGCTATTATGCTATTAAATAAACAGTATTAAAAAACTGCTGTGTAGCTAAAGCAAGCTGATGCCGACTCTGGAAAGAAAATAAAAATAATTTTCAAATGAAACCTTTGAGGTATTTTCAGTCTTTCTAAAAAGGCATTTTTGCTCTTTCATGAAGGAAGTGTTCCCAGTGTGGAAAGCTGGCAAGAGGCTCATGTGTCTACACCAGCAATCTGCATGTCTATGCACGCAGCTTCCTCTGAATCTGGACTATTTCCAGTCTTTACCGTTACTTCCTACGGGCTGTCCCAGGCCTCCAAGCCTTTAGTATATTCGGTGCCTGAAACAGATGTACAAATAAAGCACAAGACATGTTTTTTCCTTACTGAAAAGTATTTACTGTACCTGAGTACATCATTCTACTCACATTTCTTTTTTTAAATTAAAGTATCATTAATATACAGTCTTACATTTGCTTCAAATACACAAGTTACCCGTATTATTAAATCCTCACCCCCTCAAGGTTGTAAGATATTACAGAATCATTACTCATGTCTCTTCTCGACAGATATTTCAGGCAATTCATGAAACTTAGACAAACCTTTAGTTAAACTCTCACAAGTATTTTGAGGATTGTTCTTTTAAAAGTGTTACATTTTAAATAGAGGATGGTCTCTATCAAGACCAAATTTTCAGCTGAATCTCAACAAACTAAAAACTTTCCTAAGTTTCAGTGCTCTTGCACATATGTAAGACAAAATCGTTTTGTCTAGCAAGGGGAGCTCCTGCAAGACCACCGTCACAGAGGTGCCTGCCTTTCTTTCCGTGGGATAAAGGAAAGGCTCCCCAGCTCTGAGTCATGACTCCAAACTGTGTCTAAGACAACAATAGCAACTGGGAGAGACGTCCTGAACTAGGAGAGGTAGACAGGAAGCCATAAATCCACTTCCCCCTCATTTACAAGGTTTGTTCAATGAAGAATACAAGCCTATGTTAAAGTGTAGCCTTTGGGTATTGAACAAAGAGATGTTTATATGTACAAAACAGACAAGTTCACGTGGGTGCCACAGAGAAGGGAGGGCATATCTAATAAAAGCTCCCCTGCAGTGTCAATGTGGCCAGAACACAGTGCGAAAGAAACAATGGCATTTTTACACAGCAGCTACATCATTGGTCCTCTGAGATTCCTATTGAAAATAATGGTCATACGTGATGAGTTACACAGGGTGAAATGAGAAATCAATACAGGATATACCTGGGAAGTCTCAGCTAGAAATACAGCGTTCAATTCCTGGGCCCACCTATGAACGTTCAGTGAAAGACAGACCAGGCTGTTCAGTGGAAGTTAAGAAGTCAGCTGCACGGGATCAGGAGGCTCACCTGGATGTTGACAAACACGCCATGATAGGTCTCATACAAAACTTTGTTACCCTTCACATGCAGAGGAAATTCAAAAGGAATTTCTGTTTTGCCACTGGGAAATTTTCCTGGCTTCACCATTTCAATGGTGCTGTTGATAATCTGGATAGGCTGTAAAGAGAATCAACTCAGTCCATCGGTGCTTTTAGATGCACTTACAAAGTCACCGTGTCTACTAAAAATCTGAAAGCCCCGAGCCCCGAGCCCCGAGCCCCAGACGCTACAGCACTGTGCCTGGGGGTGAGCCAGTCCCAGTCCTCTGGCACAGTAATGGTCCGTTCCGCAGTGCTGCACGCTCAGCTGTTTGGTGCGCAGTCGGGACTGAGCCAGTGTTCCCTCTATTCTCCCCACATACTGCAGTGAACCGTCCCAACCTCGTCATGTTTGGAATGGGGAAGCAGGTGGCACATCAGGAGCCTGACGAGGAGGGCCGCCCCCAGACCAGCCTGTGCTCGGCTGAGAGGGCGGTGGCTCTGCCCTGCCGCCCGCAGCCCCCTGGGCCTTCCCTCCACCCCGCTCCCAGCACTGCGCGGTTCCCCTGGGGGGCGGGGACCAGGGCCTCCCCGCAGACTGGCCCCACCGTGGAGCCCGCCAGAAGGCAGCTGTGTTAACCTTCAGTAGCTAAGGCGCCCTAAGCCTTGGTTAGCCTCACCCTGAGAAATCCCACTTGGGAAGTGAGTTTCTAAGTGCTAATGGAGGAAAGTATGAAAATCATGGAAAAACACAGGCCAGCCCCTGAGTCTTTCTTCTGGACTCCTTCCCCCTCAAAACTCAAAAGAGTTAATATGTCCTTGGGAAAAAAGGAAACTATAAGCATAGAAAAAGAGTTTACATTCTGGAACACAGAACTCTACCCTGAATGACAAGAAGGACAGAATGGCCAGGCTCCATCTGCATCCTACCTGAATGTCCAGCCTGCACAGCAATGTACACAGTTAAAGTAACAGTTCTGTGTCAGGAACGTAAGTGCCAGAAGCCACGGCACAAGTCAGAAGAACTCTGGTCCCTTTAACGGCTGAGACCTGCCCACTTATGGCTCTCCTAATCCTGCCTGGTAGGTCAAAAATGTGCAGGCTTTCAGTAACAGGAGAAATTCAGAGTCAAAATATCTATTTCTTCAGTTTGATCAGTGAGTATTAAAAGTATGACTATTACCATACTTTGCAAAATAATGACCAAGAACTGCAGCAAAGCCAGACAGCAAGTAAAAACCACCACAAACATTTGAATAATGAATTAAAAATGTGCAACCTAAGCATGCTTACCTTCACAGAATTATAGAAAGCTTCAAACACACCCACACTCTTGGCGCTGAGCTGCAGGTTCACAGTTCCTTCCACTGTCAGAGAGACTCCCTGGTGCTGGACTGAGTCCTTACTGGATATGACCACCACACCGGAGAGCATCTCCTAGGAGGGGATAGCCATCAGTCCTATTAATAAGGTCTATTTCACTCACCTTGTTATTAGCAAAAACTAAGTCCCCTTAACCACCGATTTGTTCAAAGATGCAGACATGCAATGAGCACTTTATTACGACAGACGCCTGGATGCCAGGATGGAGAAAGCCTGGCCAGGGTATGGCAGGGCAGGGCTGGCCACACACTGAGGAGGGCGCCCAGGGGAGTGGGGGGACTCATCCATCATGGCCTTCCAGACGTGTCTGTCTTCATTCTTGGCTGGGAGAATCCCAACACATGTCTGATTTCAAAAGGGCAAAGAGAAGGGCCTGGGGCCAATCGCAGAATTATAGCCGCATCACCCAGGAGCCCTCTTCTGGAAGAATACAACAAAATAAAACCCTTTTCTTTAGGTTTCTCAATTATGCCAATGGACAAAATGACTATACATTTTCAAATGCATGAAAAATTGACACGCTGTCAGCCTGGTGTCCCCTCTGCCCGCAAAGCCTCACTGAGGAGAGGCTTGGGTGGGGGATGAGGGGGCCACCAACATAACAGAAAGGCCACCAGCAATCCAACTGCAGGCTGCGCAGCCCCACGTGTTCCAGTTCATGCGGGGGACCATCCAGCCTCCATCTCCCTGGTTCAGAAATCATTTACGGAAGATTCACGGCAGGTCATCTATCCACTTACATGAAGATGGTTACTGAGCAACAGAATATGTACATTAGCTCTTTACCGATGGCAGTTTCTTCCTGCCCCTGAGGATTCTAGAGTCTCAATATGCTCTAGGGGTTTGGGAGGGAGGGAAGTTGAGAGGATTCAGCAGCATTAACCTGAGCGGAAAGAATCCACAATAAAGGGAAAACAACGCGTTTTTGAAATGCCCTTCGGAAATGCAGCAGGACTGCGGTCAGACGGTAGGATAATGGCAGAAAACCACTGACAACAAAACCAGAGAAAGAGAAAGAAAAAGAGCAAAATTAAAACTGGTCCGAAGATCAAAGCATTTAATGAAGTCTGTCTTATTGGTGCACAAGTCCGTTTGCTTTTCATTTCCTGCAGTCAGTCGCCCAGTGACCTTTTACCAGTTCCTCATACCATGGACCTGGGGGCACGAAGAGGCTCGGACCCTTACATGTGCTCAATATTCTGCGTTTGTTTCCCACCCCTCCATAAAAAACACATAAGCACATTTAAATGAAAATTTATCTGAAATCATTTAACTTTTTAATTTAAATTAGTTCTATTAATTTTGTACAACCCAAATAAAAAGAAATCTAATTTTTAAAACATTTAAATTCACTAATATATTTTTTAAATATTTACTTGACTAGTATGTGCCAGAAATCAAATGTGACAAAATAATTTCATTAACTTTACCAATTAACACAACAGACCCTGGGGACAGTGCTGTTCCTATAATCAGACTGTTTTCCATTCAGCCCTGGGCCCAGGACGTGGGGTGACCACAGCCGGGCACATTACCATCATGGCATCAACAGAAGCCATTCCCTCCTCACTCCCTGTGGCACTGGATGGAGAAGGCAGTGAAGTACCTTGGAAGCAAGCAGAGGAAATATTTGATGACCCAAGGGACTCTCCTGTCATTCCTTGAATTAAGAAAGAATATAGCAGAGAATACAATATTAATACAGTATGTGTATATTAATTAGGCATTGTGGATAAAATGAGAGTTCCTGTGGCCAGGATTCTCACCTGGCCCTGGTTGGCTAGCTCACTCACTACACACGTGTGGGCAATATGTTGCTATTAATTCTATATAAAGAGCTCCGCCCAGTGCTCTGGGCGACACAGTGGCTCGGCTGCAAGGCTGCAGGAGAGCAGAGCAGAGGCTGGAGTGGTGGCAGCGCCGAGGACAGAGGCCCTGAGGACGGCTGTGAGGGCAGAGGGGCCCAGAGGCAGAGACTGGCTTACTGCATGCAGACTCGCTCTGAGTAAGTAGACAGTATTCTAGTGACAGACCTGCCACCATGGGAATAAAGTTGGGTATAACCCTTTCACCCCAAGAACGTTCTACTGTCATTTCTTTGGTCACATTGAATCCATAGTGAACTTTCCCGGAGCTGAAACCAATTGGCAAGACAGGCAGCCGTATGAGACGGAGCTGTACTCAGTTCCTCCCAACAAAAGGAGCGTACAGAATGAGTCCTGCTGTAGCCCCAAGGAACTGGAATTTCAGAAACAGAAGATGGGTCAAGAAAGAGTTAAGACACAGACGATGAGAAAGCAGATCATTCTTTTCTCATTATCTTTGGGGTTTTTATTAAGACATAATTGACATAAAACATCTTATTTATAGCTGTACCAGGTAATTCTTGATTGATTCTTGCAAAGGAGGGTAGCATGAACTTGAGCAACTGAAATGGAAAACCCCAGACCTCGCCCACAAAGTCCCCTCAGTCTTCGGTCTAGAACTCTCAACAAGGAGAAAGTAAGGTTATGGCTCTGGAGGTGCCGTAAGTTCCCCCAATGCAATAAGCAACTGGGGGCCATGATTTCAAAACGAGGCCCACATTGGACGGCAGGGGACCCTGGAAACGGGGCGCACAACTCAAAACGCACGTGTGCTAATTTTGAGGGAGACAAGCCATAGCTTTCGTCACTATCATCAAGGAGGCCTTGGCCTGGGGAAGGGGGGAAGCCCAGCCCGGAGAGATGCAGGGCCCACACCCCTGTGTGTGCAGCAGGCAGAGGTGACGGACTCCTGCGTCTGCGCCTGATTCCCGGGGACGCCCCCGGGCTGCGTCCGAGTGGGTCCGTGCCGACACCTCGATCCCGCAGCAGCTGCCCTTCCCCGCAGACTCCGCTCCCAGGGTGAGCGGATGGGAAGGGACGGCGCTTTCTCGGTGTGTCTTCTCCAGACGTAAAACGCTACCACCCAGCTGCACAACTTTTTTCTTTTTTTGTTCTCTGGAATTAAATACCAAACCCGTAATTACGACTCTGGGTTTGAAGATAGTGGCGTCAAGTCAGCAGCCCCCAGCTTCCTGGAAATCACCCAAGAGAACAAGAAGCATAACCACAAACTCCTTTTTTCGGCAAAGCCAGGAGTCAGTTAAATACTGCGAAGCAGGTGGCAGAGCTGCTGCAGGGAGCGGGGCAGGGCTGGGAGGCCGGAGCAGGGTCCCCGGGAGCAGCTGACGGCTCGGCGGCTCGGCGGGCCGCGCTGGGGCTAGGAGGGGCCAAGGGGCGCCCCTGTGGGAGGCAGGGCTCTGGGGCGGAGCAGGGAAGCCCCGCCAGCTGCTTATCTCGTGGGCAGAAGTAAAGCAAGGATTAAAGACACACATAAACACTCACCAGCCTGATTTAGGAATAGACTCACCTCCTACGAAAAGGAGACTTTAAGAAGAACAAGCCGAGGGGCACGGGACCTACAACAGGTTAGAAGCGAGGGGGGGGGAAGGGAGGGGGAGGGGAGAGAGAAACTCGAGCAGGGATCATGAATACACAACACAGATCATGTTGCTGACGTACTGCAGCTCCCCTCTCACTCAGGGTAAAGGCCAAAGTCATTTCCTGGCCCACAAAGGGGCATGTGTCCCTCTCCCTGACGGGTCAGACCTCATCTCCTACCCGTCCCCGTCACGGACTGGCACGGTCCACCTCAGGCATGTGCACACGTTCCTCCCTCCACCTGGACGCCCTCCCTCTGAATGCCTCCATGATCTGTGACACAGACTCTCTCCTTAACCAAATGACACAGCCTCCTCTGAGCTCTTTTTCAACTACGCCTCAACTTTTATATCTGTGTTCATCTCTGCATTATCCAATTGTAGCAAGGATTGTGTGAAGTCTGTCAGATCATCCCTGATGGTTCCTCATCCCCTACCACCCCTGGGTGAGGTCTGAGCACCCTGGCCTGCAGTCAACACGAATCCTATTAGGTCGGTTTAGCCAGAGTTCCCCTCACTCTTGATGTTCCCTCTCAGTAATTTTCCTTCCACTGACACCTACCTGTTGCTTGGCCACTGATTCCTGCTTGCCCCTGCTGTTCCTGGAGCTGAGCCCATCTCTCTCCCCACTGCAGGGCTCCACCTGAGGTCCCAACACCATCCCAGCAGACCCCTCTTGGATGAAGCCTGTCTCACCATACCTAACAAAGGTCATGAACCTTTTTTTTCCTACAAAATACACTCCCTTGTCACCATCAAGTCATTGCTCAAATGCCACCATTTTAGTGAGGCCTTCCCTGACCACCCTGTTTAAAACAGAGCCCTCCCCAGCACTCATTTCCCCCTCCCTGACTCTCCTCTGTAGCACTGTCACCTTCTAAGATCCTACATAAGTAATGATCTACTTTATTTATTTTCTGTGCTTCTGGAATGTAAACTCTACAAGGGTAGAGCGATTGCCAAGAGTAGATGCGTCTGCGCCTGATTCCCGGGGACGCCCCGGGGCTGCGTCCGAGTGGGTCCGTGCCGACACCTCGATCCCGCAGCAGGGACACTGGCCGTGCCGGGAGACACGACCCCGGGGCCCCCAGCGCACAGAGCCTGCCACGAGGCGGCTCAGGCCCCCCCATGCGTCTGCGCCTGATTCCCGGGGACGCCCCCGGGCTGCGTCCGAGTGGGTCCGTGCCGACACCTCGATCCCGCAGCAGGGACACTGGCCGTGCCGGGAGACACGACCCCGGGGCCCCCAGCGCACAGAGCCTGCCACGAGGCGGCTCAGGCCCCCCCCCCCCGGGGCTCCGGGTGGAGAAGGCCTGCGGCAGCCGCCCGCGCCCCGCGCCCAGGCCCCCCTGGGACCAGCTGCCCTTCCCCGCAGACTCCGCTCCCAGGGTGAGCGGATGGGAAGGGACGGATGGGAAGGGAAGCACACCGATGAATGCTTACTGGATGAATAAATGACCATTTCCCAGCAAAAACTGCCACCAAGCAGGTGAAAACTGAATATAAACTTCACCGTGAGTTTTTAAAATGCAATGAAGTAATTGCTTCTACGGAGGATAAACACCAAACAGAGCTGTAAGAGCTCAGGGAT